TGAGGCACAACAGTAATAGGAGCAGTATTATTTGGGAGAGATATCTTTTTACCTCTTTTCCTTTTTATTATCTTCTTCTTCAGCACATCATGCGTGGGTTCAATCCTCTTTTTGGAGCTCCTTATTAATGAGATTGGTTGAATAGAAGGCTCCTCCTCGTTACCTGATTCATCATGAGAAATAATAGGATGATATTGGGAAATCTCTTCCCTTTCATTAGTATTCTCTTCATCCTCTATTTGTTTTCTTTTCTTTATGTAATTGGCAATATAAGGATTTTCAATACAATTCACCGTATAATACATATAAATTTCCTCTAGATCAAAGCCAAGAAGTTTATAACGGGCAAATTCTGGAAGATGCTTAGTTATACGTTTCATTTCTTCGTAACCCATAAGCAAACTGAGTTCATTATAATGTGCAAGGGAAATCAAGTCATCACAATTTTTGGACACGATTAGATCATGAAACAATTTGCATCGGATAGCTAAATGACCCTGTTCATTGCAAAGTCCACAAGTATGGCCAGGAAAATTTAAATTTTCAGCACAATCATCTAGCCTTTCTTGCAACAATTTAGTTTCTAAGTACTTATGCCTCTTACAATATCTATCTTCCCTATTTGGTGTGTACTTAGAAACCCAATGCACTCCACAAAAATTGACATGTTTATAGGAGACATTTTCATCATAACTAGTGCAATCATCATTAGTACCATGGATATTCAAGGAGTTCATACTAACAACATTGCAATCATGCTCATCATTCAAATATTTAGTGCCAAACATTTTAATGCATTCTTCTTCTAACACTTTGGCACAATTTCCCTTTCCATCATACTCACGAAAGATATTAAAAAATGAAGCGTATGAGGTAAACTCAATTCCATTTTTTGTAATTTTCTTTTATAAACTAAACTAGTGATAAAACAAGAAACTAAAAGACTCGATTGCAAGATCTAAAGATATACCTTCAAGCGCTAACCTCCCCGGCAACGGCGCCAGAAAAGAGCTTAGTTGACGAGGTGTTGGTGCTGCCGCTTTCCTCGCCTCCCCGGCAACGGCGCCAGAAAAGAGCTTGATGTCTACTACACAACCTTCTTCTTGTAGACGTTGTTGGGCCTCCAAGTGCAGAGGTTTGTAGGACAGTAGCAAATTTCCCTCAAGTGGATGACCTAAGGTTTATCAATCCGTAGGAGGCGTAGGATGAAGATGGTCTCTCTCAAGCAACCCTGCAACCAAATAACAAAGAGTCTCTTGTGTCCCCAACACACCCAATGCAATGGTAAATTGTATAGGTGCATTAGTTCGGCGAAGAGATGGTGATACAAGTGCAATATGGATGATAGATATAGGTTTTTGTCATCTGAAAATATAAAAACAGCAAGGTAACTAATGATAAAAGTGAGCACAGACGGTATTGCAATGCTAGGAAATAAGGCCTAGGGTTCATACTTTCACTAGTGCAAGTTCTCTCAACAATAATAACATAATTGGATCACATAACTATCCCTCAACATGCAACAAAGAGTCACTCCAAAGTCACTAATAGCGGAGAACAAACGAAGAGATTATGGTAGGGTACGAAACCACCTCAAAGTTATTCTTTCCAATCAATCTGTTGGGCTATTCCTATAAGTGTCACAAAAAGCCCTAGAGTTCGTACTAGAATAACACCTTAAGACACAGATCAACCAAAACCCTAATGTCACCTAGATACTCCAATGCCACCTCAAGTATCCGTGGGTATGATTATACGATATGCATCACACAATCTCAGATTCATCTATTCAACCAACACATAGAACCTCAAAGAGTGCCCAAAAGTTTCTATCGGAGAGTCAAGACGAAAACATGTGCCAACCCCTATGCATAAGTTCATGGGCGGAACCCGCAAGTTGGTCACCAAAACATACATCAAGTGAATCACGTGATATCCCATTGTCACCACAGATACGCACGGCAAGACATACATCAAGTGTTCTCAAATCATTAAAGACTCAATCCGATAAGATTACTTCAAGGGGAAAACTCAATCCATTACAAGAGAGTAGAGGGGGAGAAGAAACATAAGATCCAACTATAATAGCAAAGCTCGCGATACATCAAGATCGTATCACCTCAAGAACACGGGAGAGAGAGAGAGAGAGATCAAACACATAGCTACTGGTACATACCCTCAGTACCGAGGGAGAACTACTCCCTCCTCGTCATGGAGAGCACCGGGATGATGAAGATGGCCACCGGAGAGGGATTTCCCCTCCGGCAGGGTGCTAGAACGGGTCTAGATTGGTTTTCGGTGGCTACGGAGGCTTCTGGCGGCGGAACTCCCGATCTATTGTGCTCCCCGATTGTTTTAGGGTATATGGATATATATAGGCGGAAGCAATACGTCAGGGGAGCCACGAGGGGCCCACGAGGGTGGAGGGCGCGCCTTAGGGTGGCGGGCGCGCCCCCCTACCTCGTGGCTCCCTCGTTTCTTTTCTGACGTGCACTCCAAGTCTATCAGGCTGCTTTCCTTCCAAAATAACTTCTCCAGAAGGTTTCATTCCGTTTCGACTCCGTTTGATATTCCTTTTCTTCGAAACACTGAAACAAGGGAAAAAACAGGAACTGGCACTGGGCTCTGGGTCAATAGGTTAGTCCCAAAAATAATATAAAAGTGGATAATAAAGCCCAATAATGTCCAAAACAGAAGATAATATAGCATGGAGCAATCAAAAATTATAGATATGTTGGAGACGTATCAACCTCATCTTTAGTATTTAACAGATATACATAGCAATATCTAGTGGAATGATCTATCAAAGTCATGAAGTATTTCTTTCCACCTTTAGTCAACACACCATTCATCTCACAAAGATCAGAATGTATGAGTTCTAATGGTATCAAGTGTTTCTACTCCGTAGCCTTGTGAGGCTTGCGAGGTTACTTAGCTTGCACACATGAAAGGCACTTAGAAGCTTTGGCTAAAGTGAACTTCGGTATTAAATTCAACTTGGCTAGCCGCATCATAACACCAAGACTAATATGATGAAGACGTGAATGCCGAACTTCAGATTCATTAACACTTGGATGAATATGGTTCACGACTTTATTACAAAAATCTGTGAGGGAAAGATGGAACATCCTTCCTCTCTCATAACCTTTTCCAAAAAAGTCCATATTTAGTAACAACTAATTTATTAGACTCGAAGACCAACTTAAACCCTTCTCTACATAGAAGGGAGCCACTAATGAGGTTCTTCTTGATGGCGGGGACATGTGGCACGTTCTATAGCTGCACGATCCTTCCCGGTGTAAACTTCAGATCGGTCGTGCCAACACCATGAACAGAAGCACTCGCGCCATTCCCCATCAATACGGACCCGTGGCCTATGACCTAGTAAAAAGAAAACAATGAAATGTCAGCACACACATGAACACCTGCACTTGTGTCCACCCACTAATCGGTGGGCTGAAACACTGGAAAAAACAGTAAATAAATTACCTTACCTAGATGCACCATTCTCATTTTTTTCCACAATCATGTTGACGGACTTGGAGTCCTGTCGTGCCTTCTTGTACATGTTTGGGCACATGTTGGCCCAATGTTCATCCGGACCACAAGTGAAGCAGCCATCTCCCTTCTTGTTCTTCTTGAAGGTCTTCTTACCCTTCTTCTTAAAGTCGATATTCTGTTGGACACCAGTTTTTCCCTTGGGCTTGTGGGAGTTGAAGTTCCTCTGGTGCACCATGTTGGCGACAGAAGTTCCTTCGGCCCCTTTTTCGTGCGAGTCCTTGGCCCTCGAATTTTGCTCAACACTCAGATGGCCGATGGCATCCTCTACTGAGAATTCACACCTCTGATATTTCAGAGTGGTAGAAAAGTTTCTCTACGAATTAGGGAGCTTAGCGATTATACATCCTGCGATAAACTTGCCCGGTAAATCACACTTCAGAAGCTCAAGCTCCTTAGCGATGCATATTATCTCATTAGCATGATCCATACAGGACAGTTCTCGGCCATCTTGTAATCATGGAGCTGCTCTATAACATACATATAGCTCCCAGCATCGGTGGCCCCGAATGTTGATTCGAGCGCCTCCCACAAGTCCTTTGGCAACATGCACATGTAAATATCTGTCGACCAACTTATCACCGATCAAGCCAAGAACTGCTCCGAGAAATATGACGGTGGCTTCCTTGAACGCCTTCTCCTATTCAAGAGAAATCGTTCCCGTGGAAGGGACGCCGACGACCCAGAATACGTTCATAGCCGTGAGCTATAAGGTGGTCTTTGTCTGTCAACACTTAAAATATGTACCGGTAAACTTATCCGGTTTCAGTGCTGCGGCAAAACCACTAGCCAAAAAATGCCTACATAAATTAGGTTTCCGGATTGTTGAGTAAATAGGTAGTTTTTTGATTAATTTATTCCAAGAATAAATCACTAGCATGGCATTGACAGAGGCAAACACATACATCAACAGGAGCAGAAGCCACGGAGGCGGCGCGGCGGCACGTTCGGCGTCGATGGACATGATGATGATGAGGGCGACGCAGACATAGAGGAATTAGACTAACAGAGGCGAGCAGTCGCGTAGTCGCTTCCCAAAAACCAAATCGCCCCTCTCCCGTACAGGATCCGGGGAGGCCGGGCGCGTCGTGACGAGGCGAGCGGCGGAGGAGGAGTGCGTGAGTGCCTCTTGTATTCTCAAGCTCCAATAGCATGTGCAAGAGAATCCCTTATAAAAAGGTTCAACTCCTTTTTCACTAGCGGGGTGGGACTAAACTTCCCATTACACCTAGTGTCATATTAACCCACATGGGCCCATAGATATTTTTTGAAATTGTTAGATGGGCCTAAAGTCCATCCTAATATTTCAATAGGAAGAAAACGGGCTCATTGGTTGCTCGCATATACTGTCCGACCTGCATGGCACGAACTTTAAAGCACCTCCGGGCAAGACCCAACAGCTATGCTTGAATCAACAATTTCTGAAGAGTCAAGGCCGAGCGATGCACAGCAAGCGCACATGCGTGGGCCCCTTGCACGAGAGGAGGCTGGAGGGATGCAAGGTGTGTATGTGCTTCTTCTTCTACCTCCCCTCCCCCAAGCTACTCCCTAATCTCCTTTTTCGTTCTCCCCTCTAATCAACACAATGGTGCTTCAATTCAAGACAAACTCTACATGAAAAAGATACACATCAATGTTACGGTTCTATTAATACGATCCGTTGGTAGTTTTATTGGCCGTAAATGCTCAATTTTGTGTTCACATTTGAAACTATTTTGGATGAATTTTATCAGATTCGTCGCGGTCGCGCACAGGAACGGCTTGGTTGAGCTAGGCTGCACGGGACCGCCCTAACAGTCCTTTACTCCGTGTTGTACGTTTGTCTTGTCTAAACTCAGAAAGAAATCATTGCCACTTTAGAAGTGCTTAAATTACTCCAGGAGTACATTCACACAAAGAAGTTTTTGATATTGCCTGGGGTACTTTTAAATTCCAGTAAATCAGTCAATTACAACATATTTACACAAAGAAGTTGCTCCAGGAGTAGAGGAAATTCACCTGTTTAAATTCAGTCAATTACAGTATATTTACATTATTGTTTTTCATGCATGTCTGCTGATGTGCAGGAAATTCACCTGTGCGGCGACGGTGAGGAAGGAGCAGCACCGGCGTCCCTGGCAGTGCATGGCGAGCAGCAGCAAAGAGAAGGGAAGCAGCAGTTCAGGGAAGAAGCAGACAAACTCCAGCAGCAGCAACAGTAGGGGATGGACGCACTACTGGCCTGGCCGTGGCCGAGGAGGTGGAGGGCGGAGGGAGAGGTGGAAGCGGGGCTGGAGGGAGGAGACGACTCCGGGAATGGCGGAATTCAAACCAAACCAGGAGAAGAATCGAATCGATCTAACGCTGATGCATGTAGCTAGGGCTTGGATCTAACACTGATGCATGTAGCTAGGGCTCTCCTCCGCTGGCGACCTTTTGGTCGTCGGTGGTGAGGGGGGGTCGTCAGATCCCATGCGTGTGGATCATTTTAGCTTTAGGTTTTAGGGCCCAAGAAGCTTAGGGTTTTGGATTGTTCGACATCTTGGCTTTGACGGCGGCAACGGTGATGCTGAATAAAGAAGCTTCGGATTCTTCTCCGGCGAGGCGATCGTCTCTATTGTCGGTGAAGGATCTGGGAAACCAGTCTGTTCAAGCAGAGATGTCGTGGCGGCGTCGACATTCTTGTGGTGGACATGTGTTCTCGGGCTCCGCCATTGCGACGGTGTCTGCTCCAATGTCGGCGCGGAGCTTGGGAAGTAGTCAAGAAGTAGATGCAGATTGTGGTCTGCATCGACGACATTTGGAAGATGGGACGTGCGCTAGGCTCGTGGTTCGTGGATGGAGGTATGGTTTCCTCCTCCAACGTCTTAGTCATGTAGGGTGTCGGATCTGGAGTTCGATGGCGTGTCCAGGGTGTTGCCCCAGTATGATTCGTTCAACGATAAGGGCTTCGTCTTTGGCGAGCCACCTTGGAGGTCTGCAAAGCTGCATATCAACGATGGAGCCGCGTCGAGCTCGGGTAAAAAGGTGATCCGTCATTTTTCTTTCGCTGGCTGCTATGGTGATGCCGGAGGCAGGTGACAATCGTTGGTATCAAGCTTAGAGACGTTCTGCTGTCTTTCCAGTGTTTTCATGTCGATCTTTATGTGATTTGTACTTTAATCTTTGTGATATGAATAAAACACATATTATCATGCAAAAGAAAAGATGGAGGTGGTATTTGTATTTTACAGGGGTATGGCCGTGTGAAACGTCAATCCTATCGGGGCCTTATTTGTCAATTTGCAGGCTGGCGGACATGATACTCTCTTAGGTCCTTTTTAGTCTACATATAAGCTTTGTCCAAAATTAGAGCATCTTTACTTTAACTAAATTTATAGGAAAAAAAGTATCAACACTCACATTGCCAAATTAATATTGTTTGATTCATTATAAAATGTAGTTTCATAGTATATATTTGGTCTTGTAGATGTTGATGTTTTTAATATAAATTTAGTCAAACTTTGAAAAGTTTGATTTGACAAAAATCTAATAAGTGGAGTAAAAATATAGTACGTTATTAGACATGCACGCATGGCCTTCATGCACTAGAGGCCGATTTTCGTGTTCTGACCCTTTTGCTAAAGTTTATCCAGATCTGGCCCCATCTGAAAGTATTTCAGAATCTAACCCTTTTGCTACCACCAGGGTCGATGACAATAGGATATAATCGCCTACCGTCAAGGACCCTGGAGGTAGGCAATTTATCCACATCGGCACGGTGCTGCCCTACTGCTAAACAGGCTGATGGTAGCATATGTAGCCCTGCCGCTGATGCGCCTGGCGATAGGTGAATACACACACTGTATTTGATATTTAGATTCTTTTTTGCGGTAGAGCATACACCCCTACCACCAAGAGCCTTAGCGATAGACTGTTACACCCTATCACCATCGTGAGATAGAAAAAGGGTTAGATCTCAAAATACTTTCGGATGAAGTCAGATCCGACTAAACTTTCGCAAAAAAAAAACCAAAATACCAAAATCAACCTACAAAAACATTCTTACTTTCCTCCATGCACGAGGCCAAACGGCGGGTCAACTACGTACAAGATAAAGTCACAAAACCGTCGTTGGTTGCTATCTCCCATGATGCAAGCTAGTCTTATGTCATGTCTATATAATTTATTTCAAAAAAAAACTTTTAATTTATTCATCAAACATCATAGCAATACAAAGAACATAAGTACCAACATAACTTATATTCATGCCCGTAGAACATCTAGCCACGATTATAAGGACCGGAGCGAGTCTGACAGCACATCGTCGTAATCGTCTCATTTTAACCACAACCTGGCAAACCGTGTTGTAGTGGACAGTCAGAAAGTCATCGTGTTAAGACCCCAAAGAATCAATATACCAGAACAACAACCATCTCTGATAAAGAAGTGTGCAACATTTACATACACATTATGTACTTCATACCGATTTGTATGCACCAGCTGCTCTCTATTATAAAGTAAAGACGTTTTTCATACTACTTACATTTTTTATGCTTCACTTCACATTAGATACTAGTACTCAAGTACTTCCTCCATCCGGAAATACTTGTCATCAAAATGAATAAAAGGGGATGTATCTAGATGTATATTAGTTTTAGATACATCCCTTCTTATCCATTTTGATGACAAATATTTTCAGACGAAGGGAGTAAGTTACATATACTCTATACTTTATACTCCAATCATGAGTTTTTTTTACATACTACCATATTACGTTGACATACTCCTCCTCTTCATACTCCAAACATCAATGGACTATGGAGGGAGGGTAGATACTCACGTACGACATGTTCCCCCAGTTAAGGAGGGTGCGTACTCCTGTAGTACATACTTCATATATACTTGCCACACTCTAATTAACTATGGAGTATATGTTCTGCTTTTTTATAGAGTACACAATATCTACGGCATCACCGCGCTACCACCACCAGGGCCGCCGCCCCGCTTCATCTCATCGTAGTGGCGTGTTCACGGCGGAGGACCCCGGTGGCTATTGTAGTGTTAGGGGAGGTGTTGCTGCGTTCAGCATCTTTGTATCCTACCTTGGATGTGTGCATGTGTTATGGTGGCGTGCATTTGTACCGAGTTGCTGTGGATCGTGCTCTATATATAAAGCGGGGGCGGAAGCCTTTTTCGGTAAATATAGACTTTTCATGTGGGACGGAGGGGGCCCGAGGGTGCGGCCAACTCTGGTGGCGGTGTGCCGCCCGAGCTCTAAGCTCCGAACATCAACTCAACGATGGTCGGGCCAGCTTGATTGGAGGTCGTCTAGCCGCTAATTGACCTCGACGGCCGATAGTGGTGAGGTGACAACCATCTTAGGCGGTAGTGGGGGCGGGGCAACGACCGAAATTGACGGCAATGTCTTTCGAGCTTCCACGGCGGCGGTGGGGGGCGCAGGAGTGGTGACTTCGGCGAGAATCGGACAAAATCACGGGGCGTGGAGGTTTCAGCGTGGGCTCACACCACAACATTTTGGTTAGGTGATGCAAATTTGCATCATTTGTGGGGCTAAAAATTAATTACCATCTGCACATACATCACATGTTGGAGTAGCAATCTTAGCCCAAAGTGCTCTGAACACGACTGTTTTTTTTTCTTTAGGCACAACGGCATTGTTTCGTCTTCAATCGAAGATGCCCTTGACGTCATTGTTCGGTTCAAAAATATAATTTTACAATGCTCTTCATTCTAGTTTTATATTCGATCATTCATGGTCTTTTGTTGTTGTTGTTGTTGTTGTTGTTGTTGTTGTTGTTGTTGTTGTTGTTGTTGTTGTTGTTGTTGTTACTCTGAATACAGTATAAGAGGCTCCTATTGTGTTATATTAAAATAATAAAGCGTTACACTTCACATGTGATAGGCCGTTACTTTCTGTTAACTCACTTTGTAGGTGTGCAAAAAGGAGGGTAAATGAGACTAGTAAGAGATGACTAAGGATGTACAAAAGCTAGCAAGAAAGAGGATAAAAACCCTCTATATTTTTCTCTAACCCTGTGTGAGAAAGGAGAAATCCTTCCTAAATCTTCTGGCCCACGAGGCAACCGTGGGGTCCACATCATGGAAATGTTAGATGTTTCTTTCTTTTTATAAGCTCCAAGCGACGTAAAGGAAGATCTTCATGAACATGGGGTTATTCCAGCTGTTTTTGGCATCTTGGATCCATTACAGTTTATCTCCATTGTCAGTCCATTAGATATTTATAAGGTGGTCTAGCAAGTAGCACTGAATTGGCATATAAACATCATGTGTTTGAGGGTTTCTTCATCAGGCTGCCCACACAAAATACATCTATAGTTATCTTCACCGTGATAGTGTTTTCATTTAAGCATATTTCTGGTGTTTAGTCGATCCGAGAGCAGTAGTCATCCGAATACCTTGATTTTCATTGTTGCCGAGGATTTCGAGAGCCATTTGAAGGTCTTGTGTGCTTTAGCATCTCTGAAGTAAAACTAGTAATAGCTTTTGGCCGAATAAATGTCCGACCCCGGGCGTAAGTTCAGGAGTCTTTATCGTCAGAACCGTCCTCATTCCCGATGTTGTTGTTGTTGTTGTAACGAAAACAAAAACAAAAACAATAAAAATAAAAATAAGAATAAAGAAATGAAATTTGTTTGGTTTTGCCCAAATTTTGGCAAACAAAAACGAAATTCCTTGTGTTTGGTTCCTTTCCCCTGCGCCCAGGCCAGGCTAGGGTTTCTCACACGCCAGCAGGCAGCCAGATCCGCGCCGCCGGCCGCCCATTCAGACCACCAGGATGAGCTGCTGCTGCTGCAGCTGCTTCGGCTTCCTCAGCAAGCTGCACCACCGCCCCGCCGCCGGAGACAGCGACGGCGCGCCGTCCAAGGTCCTGCTTTTGCCGAGGTCCAGCGACGGCGGCAGCTTCTACGCCGGGGACAACAGCAGCAGCTTCCTCGGCGACGAGAGCAGGAGCTTCTACGAGAGGGAAGAGGAGGACTACCTCCTCCGCCAGAGCGACGGCGACGACGAGCCGCCCCGCAAGCGGTCCGAGGACATCATACTCTCCCGGGCCCGGAACGGCTTCGCCTGCAGGGACAGCCTCGTCAGGGACACCAGGAAGCTCTTCCGCTCAGAGGTAAGCTCATTACCACCACCAACAACTCTGTTTTCATTTCTCCAATGGTTTGTCCCTACAAATAAATCCTTCCGCTCCGTTGGTGAATTTAGCCGCTGAGCGCCGTAATATTTCTAGACCAAGAGTACTACCTCTCTCTCAGTTTACAGGGCATGCGCGTACCCCTAGGTCGTTAATTTGACCAACCTAATACAAGTCATATATTACAAAAAATATACCAACATAAACTTCGGAGTTTCTACTTTCAAAAGATATAATTTTTGTGTTATATAGTTTATATTAGGGTGTTAAAATTGGTAACCTAAGTATACGCGCAAGACTTGTAAACTGAAACGGAGGTTGTACATACAATGTGGCCATCAACAACAACTCTGTTTTTTTTTACCCGTTCATTCATTTCATTTCTCCAATGGTTGGTCACAAAGCAATCAATCCTTCCATCCGTTGACAATCGATCACACATGATCCGCTGGACGTAGTTGGTAGCGCACATGGATTATCTTTAGACCAAGAGCGCAATGTGGCCATCGCTCACTCTTCTGCCAAGTTATCCAACAACTTGACCAGGTTTTGATTTGATAGCAATGCCATGCCCGTTGCGTGCCTAGTCAATCAATGGTTCATGGCTTGTATGAGAGCATTTTTTTCCCTTTTTATCTTTTGAATTGACAAGTATAATCATCACTCCCCTCTTCTCCTTTTGGCATTGCCTTAGGACGAAACAACCGGCTGTAAGATGATCAACCAGTATGTTCACCTGGGCAAGATTGGTGCTGGGAGCTATGGCAAAGTGGTAATAACAACAACAGACCCTTGTCAAGTGTGCTGCTACCTATTTATGTACCACTACTTCCCTCGCTGATTACCTCTCCTTTGATTTCATTCTAATTCTAAACAAACAAGGTTAAATACCGAAACATCAAGGACGGAAGGTTATATGCAATAAAGGTAGGTTGTTTCGACATTTCTTTCTGCACCCGCTGCACAGTGCTATCTATGTCTACTTGACGGAACTCTATCTATTTCAGGTGTTGAGTAAACCCTACATGTTGAAAGTGCGTGTTGTGCAGTCAGAAACGGCCATGACAGATGTTCTTCGGGAAGTGAGTAACTCTTTGTTAAACTAGTATTTCCCTCTATAAGACCTGTCACTTTGCTGTGTTGTTATGGCGTGTGCAAAGTTCTCTGGGAATGTACTTGTCTGAGCTTTGAAGATATAAATACTGTTAGTACTTTCTCTATAGGCACACATTATTTACAGCTACAGAAGAAATCTATTTGGGATTGTGCACCCATTTAGTATGCGTCTTTTTTTGTTTATTTCAATATTACCTGTGACCATTTTCCTTCGCTTTAGTTTCACTGGCTCTGATGTTTGTTATCAAGAAGCTGAATTGTGCTAAATTTGCCTTGGGATGCTCCAAAGGATTTTGCCATCACCACTATATAATAACTGTACTAAAAAATTCAGTTATTTTTCTGTCAAAAGGCAGAAGCATATTATTAGTAGCATTTGTCAAATGTTGCATATATACAGTGTACCGCATCCTGTTTTTACTTGAGAATCAACTACCATATTTGTTTTCCAAGTTCTCTAATTAGCTACCCTTTTATTGCATCGGATACAGGTATCCCTCATGAAAATGTTGGATCATCCCAATATAGTAAATCTCATTGAGGTGATTGACGACCCAAACACAGATAAATTCTACATGGGTATTTATTGTTGCTCTCGTTGTTTTGCTTTATTATTCTAACATGGCGCTATTTTAGCAGGCTTGTTGTCATCTTGGTCGTTATTTTACACGATTGCAATTTACTCTTTTCCCTTCCCGTTGGCAGTTCTTGAGTATGTTGAGGGGAAAATGGTGTGCAATAACGGCATAGGTTTAGGAGAAGCTACTTCCAGGAAGTACTTGCGGGACATTGTCTCTGGTGTTATGTATCTTCACTCTCATGTAAGACTTTTTAAACTCTTCACCAAGGAATGGTTCATCATGGTTAATTCTGTGCTAATAATATAATAACAGTGTCTATTTCATTAGCACTTTGATCATGTCAAATAGAAATTTCAACAAAGATATTTGAAGAGCTCTAAGTTTGTTAGACAATCATTATTTGAAGCAGCATGTTTTAGCTTTCACATATTTTTTCCCTTCCACTGAACCTAGTTATGTTGGCGTGAAGCTGACCAGCAAGCTCAAATGGTCGGCGTAAATTATCTTAGTAGACAGATTTTCTGTTCATAGTGTTAAACTGTTAAGTCCATGTTTGCTTAGCTACTGACTGAGTTGTTCTGTCTCCGAGCTACCTGATTGCACAGGCAAACATTAGCCTGGGTTTTATAATCAATGCTCACCTCATGCTTTAGGAGGCATAATATATCAGTCAAATGTACCGACTTGCGTATGAATGGTATGCTTGCTGCTTTCGTAGGAACGTTTAGGGTTGAGCTTTCAGCTTCCATATTTCTTAGTACAGTGCTTGGTTGTTGAGTTTCTTGCAGAGAAAACCAGAGTCCTATTTAAAGCCAATGACAGAAAACAGGGGAGATGTGAAACCTGCTTTCTTCTAGAGTATAATGCTTGTGGTCTTGTTTATGGTTTTAAATATACTTTTCTGATTGTATTTACATATAAATGTGGCATCTAATAAATAGTTAGGGCGGCGATATGCATCAAAGCATGATTTGTCTGTTGCCATATGAAGCTCACTTATTCGTAGTTGGCATATTCCACCGTTGAATTCTAATTCAGTATATGTGTTTGTGCACACACTTTGGTACATAATGGATCGCCGGAATAGGTTTCTACCAATAGTTTACATTCCATGTCACAAATTTTGCACTGTGTGCTTGATACAAAACTTATTTTTCTTGTGTTTTTATGCAGAACATTATTCATGGTGATATTAAACCAGACAACCTCTTGGTCACAAGTACTGGCAATGTGAAGATAGGGGACTTCAGTGTTAGCCAGATATTTGAGGTCCTTTTTTAATATTGTAGTTGTATTTTTTATTTATGCCAGTAAATTTATTCTCACTGGCAGGGTGAAGTTTTTTAGTCTAGCAAAGTATATAATCTTGGGCTTCACAATTTGTTCTTGTATAAAATCTAAGATTGCAAATTGCATACGTGAACGATATTGTCACTTACTCTGGGAATTTTGAACATTAGTCGAGTAGACAATGTAGTCTGATGATTCAGTGTTGTAAACCATTTTTAGTAGGGTTGTCGAGCCTCCTAGCTTGGTGCTTTACACATTGGGGTACTTGATTATGCTGCAGGATGACGATGATATGCTTTGGAGGTCTCCGGGTACTCCAGTTTTCACTGCACCAGAGTGCTGTCAAGGTACAGTTACATGACTTTGATTTGAGTTATAAAAGGCGGCACGCACAATCAGCCAGTTACCAAAGTATCCATCTGAAGTACAACACCAGTGGTTTTTGGAATATTGGTAGCATGGTGCTGTAGGTGTTTCCACAGCTAAATGATTGCATAACTGCAGCAGATAAAGATAAACAAACCCATAGCCCCAAACAACTGTAAGCAACCAAAGGGCTTGGGTTGTGGGTGTGATGCCAATAAATATAAGAAGTTGCTAAAATATTCTCTGGCCATGGCATGAGCTTGCTTAATGTGATGAACAATTTTCTGCCTCCCTTCCGCTGCAGGTTCAGCCTACCATGGCAGAACAGCTGATACATGGGCAGTCGGTGTTACCCTGTATTGCATGATCACCGGGAAATATCCATTCCTTGGAGAAACTCTGCAGGAAACTTACGACAAGGTGCGAAATATACGTTACTCCCTTCTCAGTTTACCTACCGCATAGACTCACCAAGGTCGCTCCGCTGCTGTGGGACAGATCGCCAATGATCCGGTGGAAATACCCGGCGACACGAGCCCCCAGCTCGCCGACTTGATGCAGAGGCTGCTCTACAAAGGTGTTCCTTGCAGGGTTTTTCTATTTTGCAATGAAGGTGTGCTTGCTGTGTTAACAGTGGTGTCGTTTGTGCTTTCCTCGCAGATCCGGGAGATCGTATGACCCTGCAGGCCGTGGCCGCGCATCCCTGGGTCGCCGGGGCCGAGGGTCCGGTCCCTGAGTTTGTGTGTAGGTGCGGTTTCGGTCGCAGGAACAGGAGTGATTCGCAGGAGGCGGTGCAATAACAGAGAGCCAGCCTTTTTGGGCATTGCTGTGGTGCTAGCCTAGTAGTGTGTGTGTGTGTGTAGATATAACAGATGAAGTGTGTCGTAGCAAAACAATCTTTGTGTTTTGAGTTTTCGGTACAGAATAGAGTGCCAGTCGATTCTTTTTTTTTATCGCAAGCTTTACGCACATCGCCTTGTGTCACGGCGGCGAATGTTTTATTCTTGTTGAATCAATCCAATATAGTGAGAAAGCAGATGCTCCTTTCTTTTCCTTTTTTCTTTTTTTGATGGGAGCAGATCTTCCTTTCTGAGAGTGTTTTTATTCCATGGGTGAATTTTGAATCTGATGTGTTATAAAATCTATGTTGTTTTTATGGGAAGAAGAATAACTAATGTGTTTTTCATGTATATAAATGACTTGAGAAGCTACAAACTAGTATTATTATTGTTAGGTTGGAATAAGAATCGCATTCCCTTTCACTAGAAAATAATAAATGACAGAACAATTCGTTTAGTCTACATCTGACCTGTCATACAAATCAAAATGTGGTAACTGTGTTTGGAAGTTGTAAAAAAACTCTCAAATACAATATGCTACTTTCAGCATTTGCAAATCCAAGTTCAAACACAAATTTAAAACTGTAACAGTAAGGTATTGGCTCACTTCCTGGGGTTGGCAATAATCATCTGGCAGGTTGGCCCAATATACAAAAATAAACAATACAGTACACAATGGGCAAAAAAAGAAACATACCAAATTTCTTTTATAAGATATCAGCAGGCACTATAGCTGCACATACATAGATAATATAGCAGAGCCATCACTCCCAGGTTTCACTTCTTTTTGCCTGAGACATACATACACCTAACACTAACAGTTACAGTTTTCATTCTGGCATAAATAGATAGGTAGATTGATAGATACAAGTCCTGCTTTGCCCAACCAGCACTCATTCTGTTCTGGCAAGTCCTGCTTTGCTTTGCATATTTACAGTCGCCAAAAATTCGCTTTTACCGACACCGAGGGACAAATATATAGGAATGCTATTTGCTTGCTGCCTGCCTGCTCAAAAATAACAACATACTCCCAAGCGCTAATTGGCTAAGCTTTCTTCCTTCCTTTCTTTCTTTGTGCCGGCCAACCACTGCATGCGGTCGCTCGGTCACGGGCCGTTCTGCTGCCTCTCCATCTGGATCGACCGGAAGATGCGCGCCGCCGACTCTGACGCGGTGCGCGCTGTGTGCGGGACCACCCGGATCACACGGGCCGCTGCCGCCACCGGGTTCTCCTGGCTGCCCGAGGAGACCTGGGGTTGCTGGGCCGCGTTCCCGTTCCCGGCCGACGACGTAGGGAGGGGCGCCGCAGGTGCGGCCGCGGCAGGGCCCCTCGCCTCGCCCTGGCCCTGCTGCCTGTCAAAAGGGCTGCTGGCGGCGCTGCTCCCTTGCAGCTCGCTGCCGCGGGACGAGTGGAACCTCCAGACGCCGCCGGCCGACACGGCCTCGTTCCTCATGTTGCACGAGCTCCTTGAGTGGTGCTCGACATGAGTGTTGGGTCGCGCTGCGGCCACGCGGCTCACCTGCTCCACTGCAGAGGATGAGACCACCGGGTTCATCACTGGCACGCTGAAAGGCGGGAAGTACATCGGGGGCATGGCTGGTGGGCCGCCGACGCCCATGTGCTGCGGCTGGTGAGGCATAGGGATGCCGTATGGAGAATTCATGAATTCCCCAGCTGTAGATGGCAGGCTCAGAGGAGCACAGCTTGCGTAAAACGGGGCCAAGATGCTTCCTGCCGGGGGGCACGGCCCTGTGTATGGTTTGTAGACGAACCCTTCCGACGGAGACATGACGGGAACGAGCCACTGATTCTGAGGCGGAGGAGCACACCAGTTGTTCTGCTTGTTGTCGGGAGGAGCAGGCATAGCAGGAGGGTTACTGCTAACCGCACCGTTTGATGCAGCTTGGTTCTCATGCCGGACCTCGACTACATCATTGTCTTGAGATGGTGAAGCCTGGTTTCCTTCAGTGTTGTCTTTCGAGTACTCCGCCTGCTGCAGGGTAAGCTGTGCATCATCGTCATCTTTGCTTTTAGCTGATAGAAGCTGCTTTTCCACATTGGCTGCAGCCGTCTTCTTCTTGCTTGTCACCAGGGCACTGCCAAGGCACGGATCCCATTCAATAAGTAGGTGTGGAGATGCTGCAATCAACTTCTGCACCTGCTTGCAAGCACATACATAACATGGCTATATCAGCGTCCCAACACAAAATACATCAATAAGCTAACCGCCCGCTTGTGGCGAGTAAGAATCACAGGCTACTATATATTTGGTGGCGCAGACTCACTTTGATCAGTCGATGCAGCTCGAACACTTGGACAGCAAAAACCCGCTGCTGACTGTATAGAGTTCAAAGAAAAGTGATTACAAAACAAGAAAGGAAGTTATAGTGATTAAGAGAGATACTCCCTCCTTCCAGAATATAAGGTGCATCAGTTTTCGTGCAAGTCTAACTTATGTATGTTTGACCAAGATTATAGAATAAAATATCGACATCTACAATACAAAATAAAATAAAATACAAAAATACTTTCCGTCATGGATCCAATGATACAAATTTGTTATTGTATATATTGACACTTTTTTCTAAAAACTTGGTCAAACATGCACATGTTTGACTTTTGAAAAAACTAATACCTTATATTTTGGAATGGATGGGAGTACTACATTTAAGCATCAGTCTGTCAAAAAGGAAAAGAGATGTTCATAGAATGCACATGACAAATGTGCATGCGTGTTTGTGTTTGCATGTGTACAGTAGGGTGATTTGAGATGATACAGCATGTATAAATGGGAAGATCTAATCCGCTCGACTGCCTGGCTCATTTGCTGAGCACCAAGCTTATGTGCACACAGACCTTTCAAAAACACGAAGACAGAAAGGACAAGACCTAAGTGGTGAATACTTACTTGACGATAGCTCTTCTTGCTTTCCAGAAATGCTTTGGACCAATAGCACCGACAACATCATCTGGAGAGATCTCCAGATCTGGCAGAGATTCCACAGAGGAATCCGAGGAATCATCCCTCTGCACATCGTGATGTCCGGTTGATCTTTTTCTCTTTTCACCAGTCTCTCTTAGGCCTTTCTCCGACAGTTTAGAAGCGCCGTTGCATGCGATGTCAGTAGAGTATGGCCCATTTCCAGCCTTTGGAGCATTCTGAGACTCAGCAGCATTCTCATTCCTTGTTCTAGCCTGATGCCCCTCGTTTCGGGAATGTTGCTTATCAGAAACATTTATACTGCTCGTCTCTTTTACCCTACTATACGAAGAGCCTTTGTCGTCTCTTTTACCCATTGTCTTCTCTGCAGGAAATTGAAATGATGAAGTCCTCTCTTCAGCTTCCAAAAAGTTTGTCGTTGTGTTTGCTGGTGCTTTGTCCCTGATAATACTTGGAGAGTCCATTGATCTCGTGTCCGACGCGTTCCTTCCTTCCAGGTACCTCTTGTCGGTGTTGGGAAATTTTGCAGTTGGTTTGGACAGCGTAGGCCCACTCTTATACGGACTTGTAGCTGGGAAGGGTGTGGAATTCTCTTGGATCCTCACTTCCTCATGGTTGGAGCGAGGGCGCACTCCAGAGCAGAAGACAGAAGGAACCGTAAAATCATCATCGTGAGTCAACTTCTTCCCAGAAGAATTCTTCGTGTTGTTGTTGTTGTTGCTGTTATTGTCTCTACGCTGTGAACTACTACACTCAGCAGTCGATCCTGCAGCATAGGCGTCCTTGCTCTTAAGCAGGGTGGAAAGCCTCCCAGATGTAGCATGGCCATCCCGCCCACTCGAGTTGGTCTTGATGTGTTCGGGCAAACGCACAGGTTCGTTTGAAGGCACACAAAATGATGGAAAGAGAGGTCTGTCGATCCCACCAATCTACAAGAAAAAGGCGCAAGTTAGTAATAAGTAGTAGTTTAAAAGAATGTACTCTAGGATACAATTACAAATGAAGACATTGCCCAGTCGTGTCTCACTGAAAACTCATCATCTTTGCTGTGTGCAAGTGCAAACAGAAGTGACAGACAATCTTCCAATTCCACATCCCTGATGCCTATCGTGGGAATCATCAACCATGTACCCGGATGCGCCCCATAACCGTCACTGCACTAGCGTTCAGAAAAGAAAACTGCCAAACTCCGGAAAGCGATAATCAACGCAAGGTATCTAACAGATAAAGAATCACTCGTCGAGAGCCAACCATACGTACATCGTAAGCATCTCACGGCACTCGTAATCATACAACCATGCGTGTGTCGCTAAATTCGCATACATACATACATCAAAAGAGCATCAATAGAGCGAGCGGCAAGGCGAGACGACATGCCGGCCAAGCCAATAGAGGCATCCTAGTCTAACACTGACACTGTGAAGCCCCCACTGCACTGCTGCTGAAGCAACCGCCGGCGGCCATGGCAGGCGGCATCTAGGTTTCAATCCAATCCAATCCAATCCAATCCAATCCAATCCAATCAGCGGACAGGCTAAAAATATATACGTGCATACATAGAGGCAAAAAAGAAAGAAAAGGAGAAGATGGGTGGGAGGAAGGAAGGAAGGGATACCTGTCCGGCGGAGGCGGAGGAGACCGCGGCGTAGCTGGCGGCGGGGCGGTGGGCGGCGGCTGGGGCGGTGTTGGCGGCGTTGGCGGCGAAGCGCTGGGAGGGGACGCTGAACTGCTCGTAGAGGGCCATCTTGTTGCGGGGCGGCGCGCGCGGGCCGCCGCCCTTGAGCGTGGTGTCGTTGACGTGGAGCCTGGGGAAGAGCGGGCCCATGACCTTGTCCTCCCCGCCGTCCTTGCCGCCGGCCCTCCTCATCGCGGCCAGCTAGACAACTAGCTAGGACGCCATCATCGCTCGGCCGGGGGAGGGAGAGAGAGGGTGGGAGGGAGGGAGGGAGGGAGAGGGGACGGAGAGGAGATCTCCGAATCAAGAAGAAGAAGAAGAAGAGGAGGAGGGGAAAAGGGCGGATTTTTCGGGGTCTCCGGACCGGGCCGCGGAGCACGGGGGCAGCGGGATCGGGCGGCGAGCGGGATTCGGATCGGTTGGGGAGAAATATCTGCCGGCCGCGGCCCGGGGACGGAGCAGGAGGAGGGGAAAAGCGGAGGAGGAAGAAAGGGAGCTGCTCCGCTCTGGTGAGGTCCGTCTGGTGGAGGAGACGGCCACGCCCACCACCACCAACAGAGTGTGTGTGTGTGTGTGTGTGTGTGTGTGTGCTGGGGCTGGGATGACATGGGATCCTCATCCACACACAACACCACTGCAAATGAAAAACAAAACAAACATACTACTACTCCCACGTAGTACAAATTTCAACTAGAACCCATCATCCAATCCCCAAAACCATAATGTAACCAACAAAAAACCCTTCTCTCCCCGGCCGGCGTCCACCCTGGCTTGAGCGTCAGGGCGTCGCCTTTCTTTTCTGTGCTGAAGATTCATTCATCATGTGTCCATGTTCTTTTCCCTGCATCTGTGTCGCCATACATGTCTAGACATGCTTCATATCTCAACAAACAAACAAACAAACAAACAAACGGCGATATCTAAACCTACATCAACACTTGATTTTGGCCGTATCTCCGACGGAGGCAAATGCCAAGCGCGCCACAAAAGTCATCGAATTTGCATCGACATTGTCATCGCATCCAGCTTTATCCAATATGACCCTTTTATATAGGTGAATACGTACATCCATCTTATATGTTGTGTAAAGCTCTTCTAAGAACAAGAAAACATGTTCAAAAGTTGGTGGGTGCAGCTAGGCTCCTGCAAAATTTCACCAATGAGGAAGGGGTATAGTTGAGGGAACAGTTTCATGTACTATTCACTTGCTCTCTGTGTGTGTCTGTGTGTTTTGCTAGTCACTGGCAGTTAGTATATCCTTTTTATGCATGTGAACCCATGCCTATATTTTCCTTTTTAATTTTTTCATGAATTTAAAAATCCGTATGCAATGAAAAAGAGTCGGGGTTGTCTTTTGACACCGATGCGGGGTAGGCATTCCCATGTCCGCGGAGCTCGTCTTACCTAGTGCTTCTCTCCCGGCCTCTCCATAATCATTCGACATTGCTAGGTCGCTTTGACGGCGCTTTAGACTTAGTATATATTTTTTTAACATGGGGAGTGCTCCCAAGAACACAAATGCCTCATTTATTATCAAGCAGTGGTACATAGCATCAAACCACATGACTCAAACTAAAAAAAACAAATTGCCCCTAATTTATGCTAAGAGGCTACCAATTGGGAAAGAAATTGCAACTGTGTCTGAAACAACAACCGTACAGAACGAAGCAAGCCAACGTCGGGGATGAATAATTTGTCCAACGAGCACTCCACAACTACAAGCCATGGACTTCGCACTAAAGTTGCACTGCCTCCCATGTAGCATCGTGGTCGGGGGGATAAGAGAAGGGCATCTTTCAACCATAGGATTCGACGGATCGCCGGAGAGAGTCGGGTTTCGACCACCACATGATACGTCTCCAACGTATCTATAATTTTTTATTGCTCCATGCTATATTATCTACTGTTTTGGATGTTTATGGGCTTTATTATACACTTTTACATCATTTTTGGGACTAACCTATTAACCCAGAGCCCAGTGCCAGTTTTTGTTTTTTTTTTGCCTATTTTAGGGTTTCGAAGAAAAGGAAAATCAAACGGAGTCCAATTGACCTGAAACTTCACGGAACTTATTTTTGGAAGGAAAGCAACCTGATGGACTTGGAGTGCACATCAGGAAAGAAACGAGGGAGCTACGAGGTAGGGGGCGCGCCCACCCCCCCTAGGGCGCGCCCTCCACCCTCGTGGGCCCCTCGTGGCCCCCCTGGCGTACTTCTTCTGCCTATATATCTCCATATACCCTAAAACATCCGAGAGCACAATAGATCGGGAGTTCCACCGCTAGAAGCCTCCGTAACCACCGAAAGCCAATCTAGACCCGTTTCGGCACCCTGCCAGAGGGGGAACTCCTCTCCGGTGGCCATCTTCATCATCCCGGTGCTCTCCATGACGAGGAGGGAGTAGTTCTCCCTCGGGGCTGAGGGTATGTACCAGTAGCTATGTTTTTGATCTCTCTCTCTCTCTCTCTCTCTCTCTCTCTCTCTCTCTTGTGTTCTTGATTTGACACGATCTTGATGTATCACGAGCTTTGCAATTATAATTGGATCTTATGTTTCTCCTCCCCCTCTACTCTCTTGTAATGGATTGAGTTTCCCCTTTGAAGTTACCTTATCGAATTGAGTCTTTAAAGATTTGAGAACACTTGATGTATGTCTTGCCGTGCATATCTGTGGTGACAGTGGGATATCACGTGATTCACTTGATGTATGTTTTGGTGACCAACTTGTGGGTTCCACCCATGAACCTATGCATAGGGGTTGGCACACGTTTTCGTCGTGATTCTCCGGTAGAACTTTGGGGCACTCTTTGAGGTCCTTTGTGTTGGTTGAATAGATGAATCTGAGATTGTGTGATGCATATCGTATAATCATACCCACGGATACTTGAGGTGACATTGGAGTATCTAGGTGACATTAGGGTTTTGGTTAATTTGTGTCTTAAGGTGTTATTCTAGTACGAACTCTAGGGCTGTTTGTGACACTTATAGGAATAGCCCAACGGATTGATTGGAAAGAATAACTTTGAGGTGGTTTCGTACCCTACCATAATCTCTTCGTTTGTTCTCCGCTATTAGTGACTTTGGAGTGACTCTTTGTTGCATGTTGAGGGATAGTTATGTGATCCAATTATGTTAGTATTGTTGAGGGAACTTGCACTAGCGAAAGTATGAACCCTAGGCCTTGTTTCAACGCATTGCAATACCATTTGTGCTCACTTTTTATCATTAGTTACCTTGCTGTTTTTATAATTTCAGATTACAAATACCTTTATCTACCATCCATATACCACTTGTATCACCATCTCTTCGCCGAACTAGTGCACCTATACAATTTACCATTGTATTGGGTGTGTTGGGGACACAAGAGACTCTTTGTTATTTGGTTGTAGGGTTGCTTGAGAGAGACCATCTTCATCCTACGCCTCCTATGGATTGATAAACCTTAGGTCATCCACTTGATGGAAATTTGCTACTGTCCTACAAACCTCTGCACTTGGAGGCCCAACAACGTCTATAAGAAGAAGGTTGTGTAGTAGACATCAATCTCTTTTCTGGCACCGTTGCCGGGGAGGTTAGCGCTTGAAGGTATATCTTTAGATCTTGTAATCGAGTCTTTTAGTTTCTTATTTTATCACTAGTTTAGTTTATAAAAGAAAACTATAAAAAAATGGAATTGAGTTTGTCTCATACGCTTCACCTTTTTAATATCTTTCGTGAGTATGATGGAAAGGATAATTGTGCTCAAGTGCTAGAAGAAGAAATCTATAAAATGTTTGGCACTAAATATTTGAATGATGAGAATGATTGCAATGTTGTTAGTATGAATTCCTTGAATATCCATGATGCTAATGATATGCAAAGCCACAAGCTTGGGGAAGCTATGTTTGATGAAGATGATATTTTTTGTCCCCCAAGCTTTGATGAGCAAATTTATTATGATGAGAACAAAGTTGCTACTTATGATGATTATTGTGATGAAACATATGCTATAAAAAGTAGTGATGATTATATTTATAAAGCTTGTCGTGATTATGATTACCCCTTCTCTGAACATTACTCTTTTAATGTGGAAACAATTTATAGTATTCGAGTCTCTTATGATGCTCCCACTATTCTGAATGAGAAGAATTTTGCTTATGTGGAGAGTGATAAAAATTCTATGCTTGTAGATCATGAAAAGAATGCTTTAGGTGCTGGTTGTATTGTTGAATTCATTCATGATGCTACTAAAAATTATTATGAGTGAGGAATATATGCTTGTAGGAATTGCAATAATATCAAGTTTCCCCTCTATATGCTTAAAATCTTGAAGTTATGCTTGTTTTACCTTCCTATGCAAGTTGATTCTTGTTCCCACAAGTTGTTTGCTCACAAAATCCCTATGCATAGGAAGTGGGTTATACTTAAATGTGCTAGTCATATTATTCATTATTCTCTCTTTATGTTTCAATTCTTATCCTTTATGTGAGCATCATTGAATTCACCATGCCTAGCTAGGGGCATTAAACGATATCGCTTGTTGGGAGGTAATCCAATTTTATTTTTGTTCCTTGCTTTTTGTTCCTGTTTAGTAATAAATAATTCATATACCCTCTGTTTAGATATGGTTTTATGCTTTTAATTAGTGTTTGTGCCAAGTAGAACAGTTGGGAAGACTTTGGGAAAGTCTTTGTGATCATGCTGTAAAAAACAGAAACTTTAGCGCTCACGAGATTTGCTTCCATTTTTTATTGGACAGTGCTATTGAGTTAATTATTTTTGCAGATGATTAATAGACAAATTACTCAGGTCCACCAATTTATTTGAGAATTTTATGAGTTCCATAAGTATATGTTTGATCCAAATTACTACAGACTGTTCTGTTTTTGACAGATTCTATTTTCGATGTGTTGTTTGCTTATTTTGATGAATCTATGAGTAGTATCGGAGGGTATGAACCATAGATAAGTTGGAATACAGTAGATATTACACCAATATGAATTTATAATGAGTTCACAACAGTACCTAAGTTGTGATTTATTTTCTTATATTAACGGAGCTTATGAGTTTTCTGTTAAGTTTTGTGTTGTGAAGTTTTCAAGTTTTGGGTAAAGATTCGATGGACTATGGAATAAGGAGTGGCAAGAGCCTAAGCTTGGGGATGCCCAAGGCACCCCAAGGTAATATTCGAGGACAACCAAGAGCCTAAGCTTGG